CACCTTTTAATTGGATTGTTTATTTTGCTATGTGAATTGTATGAGTTCTTTATACACTTTGAGCATTAACCTCTGATTTGCAAATATTTCCTTGCACTTCATGGGTTGCCTTTTCATTTTGCTAATGGTTTCTTTTGCTGTGCAGAAGCTTTTTAATTTGATGTAGTCCCACTTGTTTATTTTGCTTTTATTGCCTTTGCTTTTGCTCACAAATCTAAAAAATCATTGCCAAGACCTATGTCAAGGAACTTTATTACCCCTAATGTTTTCTTCTGGGAGTTTAATGGTTTCAGGGCTTACCTTCAAGTCTTTAATCCATTTTGAGTTAATTTTTGTGTATGGTGTACTGTACTGTTTTGATTACTATAGCTTTGCAATCTCTTAAGATTGCCTTGGCTATTCGGGGTCCTTTGTGCTACCATACAAATTTTCAGATTGTTTATTCTATTTCTGTGAAAAATGCCATTAGACTTTTGATACAAATTGCATTGAATCTGTAGATTGTTTTGGGTAGTATGGACATTTTAACAATATTACTTCTTCCAGTCCATGAGCATGGAATATCTCTCCATTTATTTGTGTCTTCTTCAATTTCTTTCATTACTGTCTTATAGTTTTCAGAAAACAAGTCTTTCACCCCCTTGATTAAATTTATTCCCAGGTATTTAATTCTTTTGCAAGTAATTATAAGTGGAATTGTTTTCTTAATTTCTCTGATAGTTCATTATTACAGTATTTTAGTGTATAGAAATGCAACTGATTTTTGCATATTGATTCTATATTCTGCAACTTTACTGAATTTATTTATTAGTTCTAACAGTTTTTTGTGGAGTCTTTAGGGTTTTCTATATATAATACCACTTCATCTGTAAATAGAAACAGTTTTACTTCTTTCTGATTTGAATGCCTTTTTTTTTTCCTGCCTAAATGCTCTGACTAGGACTTTCAGCACTAAATAAAAGTGGCAAGAGTGGGGATCCTTGTCTTTTCCTGATCTTACAAGAAAAGCTTCAGCTAAATTTCCCCATCTTTCTCAAACCTAATCTTTCTCATTTACTTCCTAAGACCGATCATCCACCTAAACATCCATGCTTCTCTGTCTACACCACCAGCCACTTGGTGATCTAGAGCCACTGATTCTCCCACTGCAATGGCTTTCTGTAGATCTCTCTTCTCTTTCCCTATTCTACTTGAGTCAGGCACAACTGTATTTATTTATTTTTGCCTGGACCACTCCCATGGTCTAAAATCTGAGCTCATTCCTTTCTGCAACCCCACCCACTCATTACATCCAAAATCACTTTTGCAAGATACAAATTAGATCAAATCATGCCTCCCATGAAGGCTGCATGGCCTCTCCTCCTCTGCAGGGTGTATTCATAACCCAGGCTCACCAAAACACCTCCTCCCAAACTCTCCTGCACAACACCTCCAGTTCTTTGAACATGAACTTTCCTTCAATGTGGAACACCTAGCCTCTTCTCTAGAGAACTCCTACTGCCTACTGAGATCCAGTCTAAACATGAACTTCTCTGCAAGTTCTTCCAGACTCCCTGTACCCCTCCTTCCCTGGGATCCCACTGAGTTTGTCCCCATCTCCATTAAATACCATGTTGATCATTATCACTTATTTTCTTATGCTTTCTGCTAGATTGATTTCTGAAGTGCATGGGCCTCACTCTTTTAGACTCTGGCACAGGGACTACATAACACACAGTAGATAATTAACACATAACTGCTGAATAAACTGGGTGGATGGTATAGAAAATAAAAGGAACAGGAAAAAGAGAACTCAGTGACTATCAAAGTTGATCTCTTAATAAAACTAGTTTCTATAATGTACATGACTAGCTGCAAACAATTATGCATGTAGGTTTTAAAAGAGTGTGATGGGTACTTGCAAATGACAAAGCTCTCAAGTTCCCTCTTAATGCCTGTTAACTGTTCATCACTGCAGAGAGAGCCACCTCCTCCCAGATTTCAGATTTCTTTGGGTTCTGCAGGTCCTGCACACATAAGGCATCCTGAGAAGTCTTGGAATCCTGTCGCTTTAGTTGAGGACACTTTCCCTCATAAAACTGTATGGACTGGACTCAAGTAGTAGGTGTTCAATAAACACTGATTTGATTTGCAATGGATTTGAAAGCAAAGTGCAACTCACATTCTAGACTAATTCAATGCAATGACTGATTGTACTTAAGATAATAGCTCTAAGGCTACAGAAAATCAATGCATAGACTGAAAAGCAGCCAAATGCTCACTCCCCTGCCTTGTTACAGTCAGTGCTGACATGCTTCTTGATCCCTTCCAGCTTCTAGGCGTTTCCAACTCCACCGTGTTCCCGGAATGGAGGGCGCCAGTTAGCAAGTGTTGCCCTGTGCCTGTGATACATTTGCCCCGTGTTTTGATGTTGATGTAATATGTGTGAAAGTCGAGCTGCCTTATTACAAATGTCCTACTTTTCTCTCCATATGACAAATGGGATTCTGGCTGCAGGAAGAGAGGAGGGTGGACTGGAATGCTCTAGCATCTTTCATCTCCAATTGTGGGACTTATGTTAAAGGGAGCCCAGAAACTTC